GAGAGAGAGAGAGAGAGAGAGAGAGGGGTTAGATAACTCAGCCACGTGTGTGGTTAGCCTTTAGCCTTCTATTCGATTTCGAAGTGCCTACCCTAAAAGATCTATACCTACCGCAGAGCACGCGCGCGTTCCTTCTCATTTTTGAGGAATTAATCGGGACTAATTGCCACGTCGGAAGGAACTCACTGTCGATCCCTCCGCCAGTGAATTATAGCGTTCAATGCTGCAAAAAAAATAGGTGAATTAAAAGGGATACATAGAATTCATTCTGCAAAATTATAAACCCTGTTCTCTGAAAACGAAAAGTTGGTTTAGATTTCAATACTTTTCTTATTCCTTTCTATTTATTTAATATCGAAAACTAAAAAATAAAAGTATTATTCATTAATATAAAAATGATAATAATATAAAATTGATACGCTATGGATATTATATTCATTTTAATACACTATGAAATTTAATCACTTCATTAAAGTAACTTTTTTATTAAGCGTAAACAATATATGATGCTAATGTAACAAATAAAAAATTATATTTTTCTTAATAAAAATAAGAAATAATTTTGCATGCTAAATCATTATTATTTCCTTTTGATTCGTTTACTTTCTTTCTGACGATTATTTCATTCTGCAACTTATTGTTGATGTGCATACAAATCAGATATGGATCAGATAAGCATATGAATTATCTGATTTGTGATCTGTGTTTCTGATAGATCGCACTTCAAAGAAATGTAAAACGACTGAAAGGGGAAACTAGAGGAAGAAGAAACAGCGAAATGACGCGAGGTCTTTATGGACTTGTTTGTCCTTCTGTGAGTTTTTACGAATTATTTGAAAAGTTCTGTCGAAACGCACTCGAAAGATCATTTCGGACAATCACGCGATAGTTAGATCATACGATCTTCGTTCGCAGTAACCCTGTATCAGTTACGATAATAGAAATTTCTACCTCTAATAAAAAATTATTGTTTCAACTTAGCGCTTATTAAATCATCTAATTAAATTGTTAATTATGTTAATAAAATTGTATTTATTCCTTAAGGATGGCTCGGAGAGGAGTTGAACATTTG